GAAAACATATTTTGTGATGCATAAGATGGAAAATGCGATACAATGGACATATGATATGTGAAATTTGCAAGACATATGAAAGATTTAATGTGAAATGAGTAGGATGGATATATGACATGTGAAACAATCATGAACTTTTTTTTCTTTTTTTCTTTTTTATGCATGGGGTTGGAAGTGAAGATACAAAGTGCATGGAATGTACCTAACCTCAAGAATGATGTTTAAATGCAAAATGAATAACTAATCATACCTCGAATGTAAATGAAAACCTGTAATATGCAGACACAAAGTTAGTGAAGTAAAATGCCCCCTTTGTGTCTTAAACATGGGATCCCTAACCTCACGGGTGGGATGCTAAGGGAAACATGTCTTAGGGTTGGTATCTCTCTAAGGCCACTACATGTTTTCCTAAAGGGCATTAGGCCTTCTCAACCATTTATCCTTTCGGAATCAACGGGAGATATTTCCAAAAGCTAATACACGGAATGATATTACATCATCAAGTGTCGTATTAACCAATGGAAACAACCTAATGGGAACTGGTCTTACTCCTCAAAGCGGGAAGAATTGCTCTTCCAAGCCAGATTCATAAGGATTCCAGACTAGAGGTCGGGTTCACCTCAAACACAGACCTAATGCAAAATGAGAGTGAATGCGTGCAAGGGGCATGACACTCCAATAACCTGCACAATGGCAACCACAAAAATAGCAACATATATCCCACGACAATCAAATAAAACATGTAAAGAACTCAACAAATATATCACCCACAAACAAACCTACTTACACAGCAGGAAGGGACTCACCTAGTACTTCCATGCCAAATGCAAAAGGTTAGTAACACAAAGCAACCAACACTTATCATGCAACAAGATATAAATAATCACACAAGAGGGAAGAGACTCACTGAGTACTCCATAGCCAAGTGTAAAAGGTGAGCATATCCACACGCAAACAAGTAGGCATGTAAGCATGTAAGCATGATGCATGATGAATAAGCATATAATATCAATGATGGATGAGCGTGTGAGATGATATGATGCATGAACATATGAGCAAGGTATGATGCATGTCAAGATATAACAGACTAACCACTTAAATGTAAAAATAGAAAAGCAACAACCACAACAAACAAACAAGTGACAAACAACACATAACAAGCACATGCAATAAATGACAAAAACCCACAAAGACTCAACAAACACAGAAAAAATCAAAGGTTGAAAATTCCCCAAGGTTAAAGTATTAGCTCGACCCTCGTGAACCCAGAATTTGGAAACCAGAGATTCTGGGTTCTGTCCCCAGTGGAGTCGCCAATCTGTTGACGACCACTTAAGATTTTTTCAAAATAAATTGAAAAATCAAGTGTAAAAATAGATAAGAAAAAGGGAGTCACCACTCGTCCAAATTATAAGGTGGGACAAGTCACCTAAAACAGGTCTGCGCAGAGATCGAGGTTCGGGGGTTCGATTAGGAGTGAAGAAGGGCATACGCGCACCTCACAATCTTCCGTTTAAACACGGTTGCATACTTTAAAATTGGGGTTTTAATTCAACTTACTTATTATATTTATGTTTGAGTCTTAATAAGCAAACTAAAAAAAAAAATTAAACCAAATTGAAACACGTTTTAATTTTTGGACTAAAAGAAACAAAATCAAGAACATGCATGCACAATAAACACAAGTAAAAATTAAGGGGACTAATTTGACTAAATTCGAAACATGAGGGATTAATTTG